TCAATGTTACTCGAAAGAAAAAGAGAAAAATAAAAATGTTGGCAAATCTTGAAAGATCTGTCGTTTTCCTTTCGGCCAATGAACGGAATTTCAGACCCTCGACTAAAAAGGGGATTGAAAAACAACAAAGAAAAATATTCCAAACTCTGATACCACTGTAGGAACATAGGGACGTTTTAAAACCATCGAAAAATCGCAAGACTAAAATCAAGATTTGTAGATCTGAACAAAATAGTAAAGAACACAAGCGATTTTTCGGCCGAAGTCCCGAGGTTCAGCGATTGGTTAGATTGCCTAATCCCCGTTGAGCATCCATGAAGGAATAAGCTAGAATCCACTAAAAAATCACCAGCCAAAATAACAACAGTACTTCGAGCTACAGAAAAGGGAACACACAGTTCACCGACTCAAAACGATGGTACACAGCCACTTCTCAACATCAAGAACTCACACAAGAGTTCACAAGTCTCAATCTCTCAACCACTACACATGATCGAAGGGAATCAAAAATTACAGAGAAAAATGAAAACCACTCGAAGAAAGCTGCTCAAAATGAAAAACGAGCCAGAGAGAGGAAAACCCTAGAGACTCTTTTCTTTTTATATGAAAAGGCTCAATAAATTGATCCAACGCCCCTTATTTTGCCACGCGTCATCGATCCATCAAAAGTTGTTAATTACTCAACAAAAATGCTTTTTGTTTCAACCAATTTCAGCTTCCGGATTTTTCTAATTTCTGGACCATTGAATCGGGTCATGGGTTAGGCTTTTGATTTGGGCTTCACAAGGGACAGCAACCAAATTTCTACAATTGGTTCTAAGTTCCTCTAAACAAACCTACTATTTTTACTTGTCTCAGCAGTTTTTCATTGCTAAGTTTTATCTACAAACAATTCTTAATTGGAGACCAAACCATACAATGTATTTAAGTTTCGTGAATTTGTGCTATGATGTTTTGTAAATTTCGCAGATCTCTCAGTTTACCTCTTCCAAAGTAGGAAATATTGTCCAGAGATTCATTTTGAGGCCCAAATGGTCTTTTCATGTATTGGTCCAGGTAAACCCATTTGATTTTATATACTGCTTTATTGCTGTCTTCTCTATTCCACCCCGAAGCCGCTGCTCAAGCAATCATTGAAAATGTCCTTCTAGAGTATCGGAATGAGCTGAAGATGAGATGCAGATAAAGCCTTTTGTAAAGATCCCAAAACGAAAGAAGCAAAGAGTGGAATTTTTTAATTGATTCTAATCGAAGAAAGACAATGGTGAATGGATGGGGCCAATAGCTGAGATAAAGGTAAACAGAATGGACTTCATTTCTTAATTTTCTTGATCTTTTTCTTTAATAAAATTGCTTCATTCTGCTGCCTTTATCTTCAAATAATTAATTAATTTTCTTGTACCCACATTAAATATCCAACCAATACCGTTGTCAGTTTAACTGAAGATTGAAGGCAAGATCCTGCCAAGACTAAATAATTGCTGTCCGTGCATGCCTGTGTTTATTTTTGTTTTCTCTTCTTTCTTCTTATTCAGTATGGGAGTATCTAAGTTAATGAAATCTTAGTCTAAAAAGTAATAACAATAAGGTTAGAGTTTCAGTTTGGTAAGTCTTATAGATTTAAAAATTTTCTGTTGGGAAAATATTTCTACAGAAACACAAGCTTAAATGTAAGTATGTATTATATTAATTGCTTTTAACATTTCGAAATTGTGTCACTATGTTTATAATCTCAATCAGATTGGACAATACAAGCAGGTGGCTGTAAAAGATAGCATTACAATAATGGTAGACTCAACCATGGAGTGCTTTCTATCTGTGTTTAATGATAGATGGCTACATTCTACTGTAGGTGAAGAGTGTTGTCCTTCACTCAAGAATGAACCGGAGAATGACAATTCCCAGACGGTTAACATCAGACAACCTGCACAATTCTCAGTTATGTGCGATATTGGGGTGTCACGCAAAATGTGATAAGTAATTATGAGTTGTGAATCAATAAACGATAGTCCTTGGCAGTTTACAAAATACCCAATGAGAAAAAACTTGAAAATGTCAAATGTAAAACGATGAAACCCCACTTAGTTGTGTTATAACACTTCGCACATATATGGCACGCCGGTAAGAACGAGATAATCATGCTATTTGAACTTAAAAAGAACCTTTGGAATAATTTCATAAGCTATGATTACCATTAAAATTCGAATCCTATTTATATACCTACAATGTCGAGCACTAAACCATCGTCATTTGAAATGTAAATCATTATCCATCGGCAACACTAACTCAAGCATTTACATTAATTTTCTCCTTCTCAACATTCCAATGACATAAAACGACATCTAAAAAATTATGATACAACGCTAATTCAAATAGCGTACATTTATTTATTTTCCTATTGTAATTTCAATGGCATAAAAGAATAAAGGAAATAATATGATTCAACACTAATTTAAATAATCAATCTTAATTTATTTTTCCACTTCAAAATTATAACAGCATTAAATTATAAATGAAAATATGATTAAGCTCTAATTCAAACAATATTCATTGTTTTTCCTTTTCAACATTCCAACGACATAAAACAATAAATTAAGTAATTCAGAATCCTTGTGTTATGAACTATGCACACTTGGGGATGATAATTTTCAGTAAACCATGGCCTTTGCACAGAGTAGATTTTGTAAAAGATTGCAGTTAGGTAATAAATTTTGGGTATGAATTTCCATAGTAATAATTATACTACTAGAATGATTGAGTTTTCAAGTGTATATGTTTCATCACACTTTAGATAAATGCGTGCGTGATGAGTGCACTCACAAGTTCGTACAAAATCTAGTGTCCTGTGGCTTTTTGATTTAATAACATCTAGCAATATAGATTTTTTAGATGTATCACTTATTGGAATAACCATATACATGAATAATCTTATATCAATTAGAAACAAAAGAGACAAATAGAAGACATGCCTTGATTTCTTTGCAGCTATTACGGTTCTTATTTATCAAATATTTTGATGATAACCTCTCAATTTTCGACACAAATTTGTCTTGTTGCTGCATAATTTTAATTATTTTAAGGAAACTGGCATTCACAAGAGGTGGTTCATGTAGATGCTATCATCTACTTAGTTCATCTAAGCAATCTACTACTTTCACTTGTCTACGCAGCTTTTCATTGCTAAGTTCATTTGCTAAAAAATTCTTAATGGGAGATCAAATCATATAATTTGATTAAAGTTTCATAAATTCTTTCATTAATGTATTGAAAATTTTGCAGATCTCTTGGTTCAGACATTCATTTTTATCCCAAATGGCCTTCATGGTGAATGGATGGGACCAAGAGCTGAAATCAAGTAAAACAGGAGCTGAAATAAAGAAAAACAGAATGGACCGTCATTTCTTAATTTGGTTGATCTTTTCCTTTAATGAAAGTTGCTTCATTCTGCTGCCTTTATCTTCAAATTATTAAGAGGAAATTTCAAAATGTCCATTTTTACCCAGGCATTTGCAAATCTCTTCAAAATGACTGTAAATATTTGATTTAATTTCTTGATTTTTGAGACTTATTATCTGATATTATCATTTATATGTGAATGTTTGATTGAGACTCCATTGATGTTGGCTGCAATGCATTGAAAGATCTCATGTGTGAAGAAACTCATTGAAGCTGGGGCGAATGTTTGTTTTTCCCAATCCATTATCTTCTCTAATAAGCCATTTTCAAGTAATCTGTATTTATTTGTAGGCATTTACATGTGTGTCGGTGTTCATTATTGACTGTGCTAATCTTGAATATTGGGCCAGATTTTAATTTACGATTCACCAAATGGAAGGACTTGCTTACACTATGCTGCTTATTATGGTCATTCTGATGGCCTTAAAGCTATTCTATAGACTGCTTGCACCTCCCATGTAGCTGTTTCATGGTAGGTTCTCAGGGATAGATTAACTTTATGCTGTTAAGAATTATGCCTTAGTCTCAATTAAGAGTGCAATATTGAGTAAAACGAAATGAGAGACACACATGCATACACATAGATTTATAACGGTTCACCCTTAACTTGAGAGTCATGTCCACCCGCCACTTCAGGTTGCACCATGAAGAAGAAAAGAGGATTATTATGGCGAATCATGCCTCTCAACTCCTAGAAAATCCTTTGTATAGTCTTGAACCTAAATATACCTAAAACTTAACATATTAGGCTCATAATCCAATTTATTGTGTTCGGCATATTAGCTCTAGATTCTCATTTTTGTGCATAAGATGCTGAGAACTATGCTTCTTTTCAACTATTATAAACTAGATGAAAGTCATCAGATTTTATATATGAAAACCACAAACATCAAGAATCTAAAACCTCAACATACACTCCAGGCAAGTGGGCATGTATTGCAGCAAATGCATGTTTTTTTATAAATCATACGGAAGAACTATGAAGCAAAAAGTTGATAACAAAAACTGATTATATGCAACAAATGCACCATTATGGCAGAAAAATAACCATGGAGAGATGGAAAACATCCTTCAGCAGCGCACATTCATTTTTCAAAAACATTTGAGCTTCCGTGCAGCCCTTGGCCCATGAGTGAAGAAATAAGACTATACCCCAACCATGGAACATCCGACTTTTGATTGGTTTTTAAGCTCACTTTTTGGATTTTCATTTGTTTTGAGCTCTTTTCTTGATTTGATTTGTGGCCCTTTCTTATTTGATACTAGGGATAGTGAGTGGTGGTGGAATAATTATCCACTGCTTCGAGTTTATTTCTCGAGAAGTGATTAGAGAATGTATAGTTAAAAGTAAGAAAAAGTTACACAAAAATGTGAAAATGATTTTTTTTTTTATTTGGTTGAAAATGAATGGGAAAGAAATCAGTTTCAAACAAGAGCTTAACTTTAAATCCCATCTTTGATTGATTTTTTGCTCATTTTATTGCTGTTTTCATTTGTTTTAAGTTTTCTTTTATTGTTTGGTGCTCGGGGGTAGTGATGACTAAATGGAGGTGGAATGTTTAAACTTCACATCTTTAATGCCTCTTTTTGCTCTATTTATGTGTATTCATTTGTTTTGAGCTTTCTTTTCTTGATTTGATTTGTGGGTTATTATTGTTCGGTGCTTGGGGGTTGTAATAATATTGGGTTTTTTTATATCCAATAAATCCCCGGGTATGATGTTAACATGAATAATGTATTTTATAGTCATAGGCCGATAAATGAAATAAATCTAACAACCAAGTCAATGAGGTCCATCTAGTCCAATTGCATTCCCTCTTGGATAGGTTGAATCTTAGCCCGTCTACCTTTCTTAATGGTCCTATTAAAAAGCCTAACCCTAGCATACTTATAAGGAACAAACCCTAGCCACTTTCTAGTATGATTTGTGTGATTTGTGAGAAACATAGAGGAAATTCGGCTGCCCTTTGAAGAGTGAAAAAAAGCCCCTTTGAAATGCCAAAATTGGTTGATTACTTTGTGTCATTTGTGGTTCCCTCATAGCCTACCTTCGTGGCTACAAATCATCACCATTTCTTATCTTTTATGGGTAAAATTGATAGCAATCAAGGTGAATTATATTGGTTGTGGAATGGAGCCGGTTGGTTTGATTATTGGTAGAGAAAGGTACGTTGAATTGAGCCCGAAAAATACCGATTTGAAGATGCTTGGAGAGAGCTTCCACACAAATAAGTCAGTGGTGGTGGAAAATTTAAAGTCTACATCACCTCCGTGATGTGTTTATTTTTGTTCTATTGTTGTGTGTTCATTTTATTTGAGCTTTCTTTTCTTTATTTGATTTGTGGGTTTTTCTTGTTTGGTGCTTGGGGGGTAGCGATGAGTGAATGGTGGTGGAATGTTTTAATTTCCATTTTTGGTAGGACATTTTCCTGTTTCTTTGTTTTCATATGTTTTGAGTTTTCTATTCTTGATTTGATTTGTTGATTTTTCTTGTTTCGTGGTTTGGAAAAAGTGAATGGCGGAGGCATATTGAATATGAGAAATTCGAAAAATGGAGATCCAGAGCCAGGAAGGTGCAAGAGAATGGATGGCAAGAAATGGAGGTGCTCTAAAGATGTGGCTCCAACCAGAAATGATGTGACCGCCACCTGCATGGAGCCACCCCCGTTCAACAAAGCCTGTGAAATAAAAAAACAATGCGTCTTTCAACACCAATCCACAAGCTACCAGTGCTGCCTCGAACCAGTTTCTTGCATCAAATGAGACTCCTCTGCTATACGATCCCAAAACTGATCTAAATCTTTTTACAGCCTCTTGCAAGACTTAGCTGTTTATTTATGTATTGTGCTTGATATTATTGATACAGCTACTTAATTGTATGATGCCAAGTAAATTTTTTACAGTTTGGAATCAGAGGATTTCTCTAATAATGTGTTGTCTACTTAAGTTTCCAAGTTTGATAGTAGGACAACAGGACTTACGATCTACATCGTTGAGGTAAGAATCTGAGCTTATATTTTTGCTGTAGGTTCTTGAAACCCCCCTTTTTCAGCCCTAAGCTGTAACCATAGCAAATTCCAACTTCTTCTCTTTATCCCCTGTTCTCTCCAACACCAACACTAATCATTTGTTGATGATGATGGTCAAAATGGCAGCAACCTCAAACAATTCTGCTGAAGGAGGTGACAGATACATCCCAAGGGAAACCACAGTTAGTAAGTAACATAAATGCCTGCACGGCTGTGGCAGATGTGGTTCGGACCACCCTCAGTCCAAGGAGTATGGACAAGTTGATACATGATGAGAAGGGAAATACCACTATTCTTGGATGAAAAAGCTATTGAATTAACTGAAACAAGGCTTCGATTTTCTTGCATTGAACAGGTAGAAATATTTCCACCCATTGATATAGTGTCATCTTGAAAATACCTGAATTTGTCATTCGAAGGAAAAATAAATTAAGGCCTAAAGAGCTAAGACTAAGCTTAAACGTAAGTTTTTAGTTTTTCCACGAGACATTTTTGAGCTTTTTTAAAGGTTATTACTCTTTTTGGGTTTTTAATTCTAGAACTTACTATAGTACTTCTGCTATTTTTAATGATGCAGGATTATCTAATCCCGAGTGTTGCTGCATTTAATGAGATTGAGGTATGAACTTCTTGAACCTGATGGGCTGCTTTCAGCAAAAAGCTGGAAATTTGTGATGGCTCAGTCGGTTGTAATGGAAGCCACAAGAAATTTCTGGAAGGAAACTGCTTTTAGAGCTAATTTATTGATAGGTGGTTAGTTCTTTTTTCTTAAAGCATACGAAGTGGATTGTAACCCAGTGGAAGGTAGGAAGAATTATGTTTTAACACCATCTGCAATTTCTAGCAATAAATTCTTATGGTCTTTTCAGGCATTATACAGTTATATGCTAACTCGGTATCATCTACTCGGTCTTGCAGCGTTTTCTGTTCAAAGACACCTTGGCAATTTATCTTTAAGTCCATAATATATCATTTTTCTCCGCATAAGATTCTGATGTAATCAGATACCCAAGTCATTATGGACCAATTTATTTTATTTAAATTTTACTTGAGTGAGCAAAATATTATTCTGTCCTCTCAACCATACCGATTGACAAAACATTCCATCCTATCTCTTTTAAGTGTGTTAGGTATAATTTTTGGGAAAAGGAAATGCAGCTGGGATAATGTTTTTGTTATTCCAGAATTTAGGAAGAAGTTATGCTTTTCAAATCTAAAATGTAGACTTAACTGATGCTGACAGAGTATAATATAAAGGTGAACCCAAGTACAAGTCCAAACCAAGCCCTGATATCATGCAAGATGATGGGATGGAAATGGTCTTTCAAGAATATACACAATACCAACCTGTTAGCGAATAGGGATGAATTTTTAATCACAGTAAAACCAGGCACAGTTAGGTACCGTGAAACAAAGTGCTAAACAATAAGCACGCGTTGATTACCTTACTGAAGAATTTTGAAATGGATCTTCAAGTCCGGAAAACAAATTGCCTCATTTAGAAGTTAATGTGCAGCTAGGAAATTCTCCTGGACCCTTTTCTGATGCACTTAAGATGATATGAGCACGAAATGCTAGGCCAGGTGCTAAAAAATTGATTGAGTGGAAACTTGCAGAAGAAAATCTTCGCTATTGGATATTTCTTTGAGAGCTCTAGCAGAGAACGCCTTGGGAATCGTATCACTTGATCTGGTGCGAGATATGCTTAAGAAACAATTGACTGATTTGTTGTGTTATATCCGGAAAATGGATGTGCATATCTTGGACCTCTTAGTAAACAGATGCCATAATATGGCAAGATAGGTAGTAAGTTAATTTGATTTGAAAAAAGCTTGGTGTTTGAGGCATCAATTTATTAAGATTTGACATACAGACCAAAGGATTCTTATCTGTTTGACATAAATTTTAACCCTAAAGAACTTCCATTGGGTTTATATAAACTTAATAAACAAGAATTTATTTTTGAAGATTATTATTCATTATAATTTTATGCTGTTGCAATTCTGAAATGAAAAAATAAATTAATATATTTTTTTTAATTACTATTGAATCATATTATTTCTTTTTATCTTTTTATGCAATTGGAATGCCGAAATGGAAAATAAATGTACATTGTTCGAATTTGTGCTCCAAAAGTTCTCTCTAAAATTCAAATTAACTAGCTTATCTCCTTATTTAAGTGTGCATTGAATGTGCAGATTTCTATAATTCTATTCCATCAGATTTCGTAGTTTTACATCTACTGGTTTTTCTTCCCTGATATTTATTTGGTTCACAGCTGACTATTTTTTTTTTTTAATTGATTTACATATTACAATTACTTGTAAACTTATTAGAGGATCTATTTAATGGACGAAGTTAATATTATTTAATGATCTCATTAACTTAGAATTCCTTGTAAAGTTCAATCTTTTTGAAGACCAATTCGCAATATAGTTGGGTTTTAGGTTGACTTGCATATCTTTATCATTTCTAAAATTATGAACCTCCCGTATGCATAGATATGAATTCACAATGTCCATGATTTAATGAAAATTATGACGCCCCTCCATGTGTACACAGTTAAGAATGCTCTGTTCCAAATTATTTCTCTTACAGTATTACAGTAAATCGTTCGAATTAGAGCTGAATCAGATTATTCATTTTAATTTTATGCCGTTGCAATTTCAAATGGGAATAATCTGATAAACATTGTTTAAATTATTGCTGACTCATATATATTATGTCATTTATTCTTTCATGCCATTGGAATGCCAAAACAGAAAATAAATAAATGTTTGAACTTTAAAATAGTGTTGAATTATATTATTTTGTTTATTCTTTTTTACGTCATTGGAATACTGAAAGGAGAAAAATTAATTTAAATTTTACAATTTAGTGTTCTCGATGATTGATGATGTACATTGCATGTTGACTACTCAACATTGGGTTTCGAATATTAATGTTCATCATCAAAATACTAGTGACAAATACAAAGTAAAATCATTGGAAAGAATTCAAAGTAAGTTTTTTGTGCATCTCTTCTATATATATGGTGAAAGCATATGATTCTTCAATAATATCTTTGTCTCAATAAAAAACTCAGCATCTAAGCAATTCTTTTTTCTTTTTTCCTTTTTCCTTTTTTTTTCTCTCTTTTTGCAAGGTCTGTGTGGAATTCAATGTTTTATGATTGAAAACAGCTATGGTGTTAATTAAAAAAATTAATGTACAAATTGTTATGATACCACCTCGTCAAGTTTCATTGTTTTACATTACTTGGATATTTCTCCCTTGATATTTTTAAAAAGCAAGCATCTATTTTTATTGATTCACAAATGGCTATAGTATTTGGAATGTTAAGGACATGCAAGTCAAATTGAAACCCAAATGAATGCAGAATATATTTTTTAAAAGATTGCATTTTTGAAATATATTTCCGTAGACATTGATATTACTAGAACGATTGAGTTTTATTAGTGTATATGTTTATTCACACTTTTGATCAATGCGTGCGTGCATGAGCAGTTTTCCTATGGCCTTTTGATTTGAAAAATTTCTTACATGGTTGATTATTTAAATGTATCATTATTGGGAGCTGACATAAAGGTAAACAAAAGGGGACCTTTATTTCTTTATCTTTTCTTTAATGGAAGAACCTTACTACAAGTACAACAATTTTGACATTATGGTTAACAGTCCTCTCACATACAAGAGGTGAGGCCCGTAATTAAAATAATCACAGATCCTATGATTGTGAGAGTACTGTATGTGTACAACACTCTACACAGCATTTTCATTAATGGAATGTTGCTTCATTCTTCTGCCTTTATCGTCAAATAGTTAATTGATTTTCCTGTATTCACGTTAAAAATTCACCTGGAACAGTTGTCAGCTTGACTGAAATTCAAGTCAAGATTAAATAATTGCTGTGTGCATACGCGCGTGTGTGTGTGTGTATATATATATACTTCTTTTTTTTTTTTTTTTTTTGGGGAACGAAATGTATAAGTAATCATTTCTATCCTAGTCCAAAAAATCATGTTGCTATTGTTGCAACTCAATTATAGAGTTTTTGTATGGATAGTCCTATAAATTTATAAATTTGCTTTTGATACAATACATATATAGAAACACAAGCTCAAGCATATGTATATGTATATACAAGGTTAATTGCTTTTAACATTTCAAAATTGTGTCACTGTGCTTATGATGTGAATCACATTGGACAATATGAGACTGAGGCAATAAAAGTAGAATTTCAATAGTGGTAGACTCAACCATGGAGTGCTTTCTATCTGGATTTAATGGCAGATGGCTACGTCCTACTGAAGGTGAAGAGTGTGATCCTCCAAACTAAAGAATGAAGAGAATGACAATTCTCTGTTGGGCAACATCATACAACCTTCACAACCTCCTGTTCTCTGACTATTGAATCCAGAGCTTCTTCCTATATATCCATCAATAGTTGCTGATCCAAGGCCTTGACCTTCAAAACTTTCTCAAAATGGGTTGCCCAGTTCCGTCCCCTTTCATGATCATCATGTTATAAGTCTGCTAAACTGGTCCTTAACTTGTAAATATTAGACTTTTGAAATATTTAAGATTACACGTGTAAGTTGTGTTGTGGGCGAATATGATGCTTAATTAGTTTGCTTGTATTGCAGCCATTGAAGATGATGTAAGAGGTATTGGGATTGGCACAAGGAACTGAATTCAATTTGAAATGCTACCTCTTTTATTTTTATATGTATAAACATTACTCATCTGAAATTCACTCATTCGAAGGAAGCACAATAAATAATCTTTAATTACAATATTCCAGTGGTAGGGACAATAGATCAGTTGATAAAATTTAGATTGCATAATAATATAAGATAAGTCATAAATAAAGTACGTTGGAGAACTTCCTATACTCTCAACTACGAGCATCATGATAAATGTTGCAATCTTCCCAACTTCGTAGAGTTAATTGCTGCAATTTACGACGTCTAAGATGGCATACAAATTAATCATCATCACCTGTTTGACGTGAAGTCATTGTATTATCATTAGCAAACAAGTCCTAGAAAAGGGAATGCATTTTCCATCACTATTAGTGATTGAATCTTGATTCTTCTAATCGTTGTGTGTGATATTGGGGTGGCACACTGTTGGGTTTTTGATACCCAATAAATCCTAGGCTATGATGTTAACGTGGGTTAATATTATTTCATAGGCATAGGCCGATGAATGAAATAAGTCCAACAACCAAGTCCATGAGCTACACCCGGCCCAATTGTATTCCTTATGGATGGCTTGAATCTTGGCCCGCTTACCCCCTTTAGTGGCCCAACTTAAAGCCTAACCCTAGAGTATATATATGAATATAACCCTAGCCTCTTTATGATGATGATTATGTGATTTTGAGAGAAGAAACTAGTGAATCCCGGCTGCCCTCCTTTTGTGTGAGAAAAAGGTGTCCAGAAGTGTCCAAAACGCTTGTATAACGTGTGCAATTGGTAGTTCTTTCATATTATACCTTTGTGGTGTCTTCTCCTAGCCTTTGTGGCGATAAATCATCATCCCTTCTTGTCCTACGTGGGTAAGATTGTATAGCAACCAAGGTGAATCAATTTGGTTGTGGTTTGGAGCCGTGTGGATTGGTTGTTGGTAGAGAAAGGTACGTTGGACTGAGCCTGGAAAATCACCGTTTGAAGATCCTTTTGAGAGAGCTTCCGCAACAATTGGTATCAGAGCTTCAAGGTGAAGGTTTTGGCTCGAGAAATCTACCAGAAATCGTCCAAAAAATCGGCAGAAACGAGGCAGAAATCAGATCGAAAAACTGTCCAGAAAACTGCAAAAATCAGCCACTGTTTTGGTGTTTTCTGACCAATCC